TTGCTGCAGCCCCTCCCCCCAGTTGGTCGGGTCCTGATCGGCCCCCAATTGGAGCAGGCCAGCCGACCAACCTCCTGCCGTCTCCTCCGTCAGACAGGACCAGCCCCGATCTGCCAATTAGGACTGGGCCGGCGGGAACCCACCGTGCACGAATTCGTGCACTGGGCCTCTAGTATATACATAAAAGGCAAATATACTAAGTGTCCTTCTGCATGCCTGACTGGTCGCTATGACATGCACTGATCACCAGGGGGCAGACGCTCAACGCAGGAGATGCTGTGATGCACACTGGCAATTTACAGAGAAACGGCAGCACGGACCTGATGCCAACACAGCAACACTAGGCTTCCCCCAAATGGGACACAGGCCCCGCCACCACCCTGAAGCGACAGCCCACCACATCACAGCCAACACTGCCAAGACCCCATGGCCAGCCTGGAAATGGTCGCTGTGGGTGCCAGGTAATGATGTCACGTAGCATTGCCCAGCTTCCTCTCCCTAGCAACTAGACTCCTTGCAGTTTCTTCAGCCCAGGAACACGACTTGCTTTATAGCCAGATGAAAACATTTACACTTTAACCAAATGTCTGTGAGGTGTTTTCCCGTGCCTCATCTCATTTGATCCTCACAGAAGTCCTGGAGTAGGTAGATAGGAGACTCAGTGGAATCCTATTTTCTTTTCATTAGCCAGAAAACAGAGATTTAGTACGTTTAGAAACTTGACCTGACTGAAAAGAAATGGTGGAACTTGAAAATAATTTCACGTTTTCTCACTGCGCAGAATATAGTCAAACACTGCTGCAGCTAAATAAAAGAAGTAAGAAATGGTGGACCTTGAAAATGACTTCAGGTTTTCACACTGAATATAGTCAAACACTGCTGCAGTTAAGTATTTTACCCTGCGTGATCTACAATAATAATCTGCTTTGTGTTGATATTTACTGCTGTGCTGCTGACAATTACTGAAAGAGAAGTTGGGGTGCTTCACTGGGCTGGAAAAAATTTAGCTATATCAGAAAGCATATCTAATTAAGCAAGTTTATTCGATCCAATCTAATACTAGACACACATGGTAATTGACCGTACCTTTGCTATGTCTCCCATTGGCTAATCAGCATGATATGCAAATTAACTGCCAACAAAGATGGGGGATAATTTGAATACTGCAGGCAGGACGGGCCAGCACGAGCCGCTATCCTGGCCCCCATAGGCTGCCTAAGCCCCGCCGCCAGCTGGGACACCCATGTGTGGCCCTGGGCGGCGGGACCCTGCAGCCGTGATAATGATCGTGATCGAAATCTGGGCTGCAGGCAAGGCAGCACCCTGGGGCCCAGGAGCCGCCTTGCCTGAGGCCCGTGATCGTGATCGGAAAGCTGGGCCGCAGGCAAGGCAGCACCCCGGGACCCAGGAGCTGCCCTGCATGTGGCCCGTGATCGTGATCGGAGAGCCGGGCCACAGGCAAGGCGGCCCCCTGGAACCTAGGAGACCATCGGCGAGGTTTGAAGGCGAAGCAGCGATCAAGCTATGAGGGGGAGGGTGGGGAGCAGAAGGAGCTATAGGAGCAGCCCTGGCCGGAGATTGAAGACTCCCGCTGGAGCGAGGAACAAAGACTAAAGGCTCCAGCCACAGCGAAACTGTGTCCAGAGCGAAGATGGAAGTCGGTGGCCAGAGTGAAGGTCTGGGTCCCGGGTACCAGAGGAAAACTGGTGCTGGCAGCCAGGGGAAAGAAGGTCTATTGCACGAATCTTTGTGCAACGGGCCTCTCATACTTTAATAAAATAAAAGGAGGGAGGGACCCTAACAATTGAAGAATGCTAAACACTGAAGGTTTCCCCCCCCACTTGCTATCCTTATCTACCATTTTTTCTTATGGGTAAATTTTGATTTTTGAGTGTTTTAAAAGATCAGGATGTTTTTTTTTAAATTAGCTTTTAGAACTTCTCTAGTTTCCTAATTTTTTCTGAATGATGATGGTTCTGCTTTCAGAAAACACTAGTCACCTAAAATAGGTATATCAGTGAAATAGTTTGTATTTCCTGTTTAATTTAAAATAATTCCAACTTGAAGGGATGATTTAAAAAATGATTTTTGATCTATTTTAATTAGAACC